GTGTGTGTGTGTGTACATATTATATACAAACAAAATGTTACAATATTATAAAACTAGAAACAATGTTTTTTATTGAAATATCTTTAAATAAGAATGGAAATCTAAAATAAGAATCAAGTTCTTAAAATAAGAAACAAATTCTTAGAGCAAGAATCAAGTTCTTAAATTAAGAATCAGGTTCTTAAAATAAGAAACAAGTTCTTAAAATAAGAATCAAGTTCTTAAAATAAGAATCAGGTTCTTAAAATAAGAATCAAGTTCTTAAAATGAGAACAAAAGTTCTGAACCTACAATCTTGGATTTTGCTGTGTGGACATGATTTATGGAAACAACTCAAACGCGGCTCTATACCAAAATTTAATGTTAATAAAAAGAACTATGAAAATTGGAAAGCTTCATTCTACGCATGCATTGATCAAGCCCCAGCGACATCTGAGTATAAATTACTTTAGTTACGTCAATATTTATGTGGAGACGCATAAAAAAAAAATTAAAAGCAATTTAAAGACTTGGGCATTCGTCATTCGCCTATGAAGCTGCAAAAGAAAAACTTGAAAGAAAATTTGGCGGAACAAGAAGAAAAATCCTTATGTATTTGGACGAATTGAACAACTTTAAACCTATGAGGGAAAATTATCCAAAAGACGTTGAAAAGTTTGCGGATTTGTTAGATGTGGCTGTAACAAACTTGAAAGAAGCAAATCGAACACAAGAACTTGGCGATGGGACATTGTACCATCAACTGCAAAAAAAAGTTCCTGAGATTATGTTAATTAGATATAAACGATAGGTGTATGAAAACAAATTAAACGAAAATGTTGAAACTCTAAAAAAGTTTATTGTTGAGAAGAAAAATAAACTCTGAAAAATAAACTCTGCTTCAGATGCTTGAATTCTAACCATTCGTCAAAAAAATGCAGGAACACAAGAATTTGTGGGATTGATGGCTGTACAGATACCCATAATTGTTTGCTTCACAAGAAAAGACATTAAAAAGAAACAATTTTTGAAGACTACAAAGAAAAAAATACGATATTAGAAAATTCTCATTCGTCAAACATCCAATTTCATTCAAATTACGTCATGAACTACATATCTCTTAGAACGGTGCCAGTTATTCTTCGTAATGGATATAAAAAAGTTGTGGTAAAAGCATTGCTTGACGATGGAAGTACCAAGACATATTTGAACTCTGATGTAGCGGCTGAGTTGTCACTGCAAGGTAAAACCGAAAAGGTAACTGTAAACATGATAAATGAAAAAATTGATTCTTTCGAAACGATGCCGGTAGAATTTCAGTTGGAATCGTTGAATGGAGAAACAAAAATTACAGTGGAAGCTTTTATAGTTAATAATGTAACTAGAAACTTTTTTTTTTTTTTTTTTTTTTTTTTTTGCTGTTTAACAAATATAATCAACACATATATATACAAGAAAGAAAGAAATATGTCCGTATAACAAAGAAGACAGTAAAATCTTGTCAACAAGCACCGTTTTTGTATATACAGTAAATAAAATAAACTATACTTTTTTACAATGATCTTTATAAAATAAAGAGTTAAACAGACAGGGGCTCAAAGAAGATGAAGATGACAAAACGTCATCGCAATCTTTTCATAGAGCCCCCTATATACATTTTCATTAGGTTATGGATATTAAATTAAATTAAAAACCCTAATGGGCATAAAACTGCTGCGCTGATCAATAAAAACAAATAAATAAGATTATAAAGAAAATTACTTTGTAATCCTTTTAAGCACAAATAATAATCAAATTTTAAAAATTTCTTTTTTTATCAGAAACTTAAATGAACTTAATGACTTTGCCATACATTTGGATCCTTTTTGATATCTATTCCATATATTTGACCCCCGATATGCAATGCTATATTCAGTATATTTATTAAGGTTTTGAGGCAGTTTATATGTGTTACTTATATTTGCTCTTAGATTGTAGTTTTCATTTATATTTATTTCAAACTTGTTAGTAAAGTTTGTAGGATAGAGATTATTATTAAATTGATACATAAAAATTAAATGCTGATAGATATTTATTTCAAAAACATCCATCATTTTCATATCTTTTATTATAGGTTTTGCATGCTCCCGCTTATTTTTAAAGTAAATGATTCTGCATGCGTGTTTTTGTAGACTATAGATTTTTTTAAGTTTTGATGGCTGAGTACTTGCCCATGATATGTTTGCATAGCTGATAAAGCAATGAATTAGTCCAAAGTAAATTAGTTTTAGACTTTGTTTATTGATATATGAGCGAACTCTATACATCATACCAATTATATTACTGATTTTAGATTGAATATATCTTATTTGAGGAAGCCAGGATAGCTTCTCATCAACAAGAACTCCTAAGAATCTAATGCTGGCTTCTTTTTTAATTAAGTTATCATTTAGGATAAGGTCAGGCAACTTAAGAGGAAGGTTTTCTTCTTGCGCCTTTTTATGGAATAATATATATTTTGTTTTCTCTGAGTTAAGCGAGAGTTTGTTAGCTCTAAACCAATTATTTACTTTAATTAGTTCGATATTCATGTCTGCATATAGATTCTTGATATCACTGTTAGTAAGAAATAGATTTGTATTGTCAGCAAACATGACTGAATTTAGTTTTAAAGATGCATTGCAAAAATCATTTATATAAATTAGAAACAGAAGTGGACCAAGGATAGATCCTTGGGGAACTCCACATAAAACATTTAATACTCCAGATTGTATATTGCACACATATTGTTTTCTATTGGTAAGATAACTTTTAATCCAATTGTAAGTTTTATTAATTATACCATAGTATTTTAGTTTATCTAATAGGATGCAGTGGTCAACTGTATCAAAAGCTTTTGATAAGTCAATAAAAACTCCTAAAGTAAATTTGTTTTGATTAAAACCATTGGTTATTTGATTAACTAATTCAATAATTGCATGCTCTGTTGAAAGGTTTTTTTGAAATCCAAACTGGTTTGGGTAAAATAATTTGTTTTTGGTAAAGTGATTATAGATTCTATTATAAATTACACTTTCGAAGAGTTTTGAAAAAACAGAAAGTATTGATATAGGTCTAAAGTTGGTTATGTCCGAATGTTCATTACATTTAAATATAGGGATTACTTTTGCTAATTTAAGTACATCAGGGAAAATCCCAGATGTTATTGAGAGCTTTAGTATATGGATCAGAGGTCTACTTAAACTGGTTTTATTAAAGATAACTAAATCACTAGTTATTTCATCAAATCCAGGTGCTTTCTTTTTTTTTAAAGAGGAAAAGTTCAAATTCTTTATATACAAATTCTTTATCGTACATGATGGCTTTATTTGTGGGTGTTAGATAATTTTTAAATGAATCAGTTGTTGGATTTATTTTATTAGCGAGATTTGGACCAATATTTATAAAGTATTTGTTAAATTCTTCGGATATTTGTTTTTCACAGAATATGTCTGTATTGTTAATATTAATTCTTTTTGGTAAAGAAGTTGCGTTTATTTTTTTCCGTCCCATTATTTTGTTAATGACGGACCACGTTTTCTTACTATCAGATTTGCATTTAATGATTTCATTCTATAGTATTTATTTTTTGCCTTTTTAATCAGATTTTGGTAAAAATATTTATAATTTTTTTAATTTTTCTCGTTATTAGTGTTTTTATTTTTAAGATATTTATTATAGAGTTTTTGCTTCTTTTTTGAGCATTTTATCAGTGATTTATCCATCCACGGATTAGTTTTTGTTTTAATTATTATGCCCTCTAGAGGACAGGTTTTATTAAAACAATCTAGGAATATATCTAAAAAATTATTGAAAGCTTCGTTGGTGTCCTGACATCTATACACGCTGGACCACGTTTCTTGTTTTAGTCTGATTGATAATTCATTAGTGTTACTTGTTTTAAGATTGCGTTTTTTCAAATTTATAACTTTTGGTTCATAATTAGACATGGTTTTTAAATTTCTTACTTTTATAAATATCGGAAAGTGATTACTAATATCAGTCATGAATATCCTTAATAATTTAATAAAAAATAACTTAAAAGCAGTTAATTGGGCAAATATTACAAAAAGTTGGAAACATCTAAGAAAAATCGAATTCCCAAATATTGGACCAAAACCAAAAATTGACATTCTAATTGGTGTGGATTACGCTGAGCTGCACTGTGCAATTAAGGAAGTAAAAGGAGGATTTAATGAACCAGTGGCTCGACTCACGCCGCTCGGATGGGCATGTGTTGGTGGTACTGGTGGATCTCTTCAAACCCATTTACGAAAATAACATCTAGTACAAAGGAAATAGAAGATGCAAACAACACCATTAAAAACTTATGGGAAATTGAAGGCGACGAAGAGATTCAATTCAGAAAAACAATGACAAGTCCAGAAGACTCTACCACCCTTAATATAGTAACTAATTTGCTAAAAACTGAGAACGGAAGATATGAGCTAAAATTACCATGGAAAGGTAATAGACATTTGGACAATAATTAAACAATGGCGTTAAACAGATTACAAAATACGGAAAAACGGCTAATGAAAAACAAAAGTCTAGGAGAAGAGTACAATAATATTATAAAGCAGTATCAAGAAAAGGGATACTTGGAGAAAATCAATATAAGGGATCTTGGAGATGGTTGGTACTTACCACATTTTCCAATTCTTCGTCCTGATAAATCAACTACAAAAGTCAGAATTGTGTTTGATGGATCTGCAAAATATAATGGTAAATCAATTAATGATGTTATTTATCAAAGTCCAAAACTTCAACAAGACCTGTTTTGCTGAGATTTTAAAAATACCCAGTGGCTTTAGCTTGTGATATAGCAGAAGTGTATTTAAAAATTGGAATACATAAAGATGACCAAAGGTACCAACAAATTTTATGGAGAAACCTAGATTCAACTGCCAAGCCTGAGGTATATCAGTTTAATCGGCTCGTATTTGAAATCAACTCAGCGCCTTTTATGGCTCAATTTGTAACGCAAGAACACGCAAGAAAGTATGCAAAAAAAATTTCCTTTGGCTTCTGAAGCTGTTCTTGAAGCAACTTACATGAACGACACAATAACTTCTGTAGTTGATGAAAAAGTAGGATTTCAATTATTCAAGGAACTCACGCTACTATGGGGTTCAGCAGGAATGTTTGCACGAAGGCGGCTTTCAAACTCGGTCAAAGCTCTGTAAATAATACCAGAAAATGATCGCGCAGAACATGTAAATTTAGATTCTGGATAATTGCCGGCAATGAAAACACTTGAAGTTGTCTGGAATGCAAAACCTGATTTATTTAGTTTTCATTCTGTAACAACCGAAGAAAATATGGTATATACAAAACGAATTTTGCTTAAAAAAATGGCAACGTTGTTTGATCCATTGGGTTTTTTTGCAACATATATCATTCGAATCAAAATAACTATGCAAGAACTGTGGATTGATGGAATTGAGTGGGATGATGCAGTTCCGGATAGGATTGCAAATAATGTTGATCAATGGTTTCAAGAACTTAACGATCTCCTAAAAATAAACATTCCCAGATTTTTACAAACAACCTCAACATTAACAAATAGGTCAATCCATGTTTTTACGGATGCGTCTTGTAAAACTTACGGTGCTGTTGCTTACCAACAATGTTTATATGACACAGGAGAAGTGACCTGTGTGATCATAATGTCAAAAGTTTGAGTAAGTCCATTGCAATCTATTAGTATACCAAGACTTGAGTTACTTGGAGCTGTCCTCGGTTTACGACTTGCAGAGAAGATTGTCAAGGCATTGAAGCTGGAAACTAAGGACGTAACTATATGGTGTGATAGTCTTAATGTTTTATGGTGGATAAAAAATCAAAGTCGAAAGTTGAAATCATTTGTTGCCAACTGTGTTGGATTCATTCAATCAAAGACTGAACTAAAACAATGGAGATACATACCAACAAAAACAAATGTAGCTGATTTACTAACAAGAGGAACAACAGTTAAAGAATTAGAAAGCAATTATGTATGGTGGCATGGACCAAGTTTCCTTAAATCTTCAGAAGAAAAAGGGCCACAGAATCACATTGAAGTTACACAAGAGGCTTCAATTGAAGTAAAGAAAAATCCAGTATTAATGAATTTTGCATTATCCACTGAAGTGACAAAGCAGTTGCTTGATATAAACAAGTTCTCATGTTTTTTTTTTTTTTTTTTTTTTTTTTTTTTTTTTGTATGTATTTAGGTGCTCCCAGAAGTCTTTACGGTCTTATCATAGAGCACCGCGGGAGAGCATTTAATAGGAAGTTCACGCCTCCTTCCGTACCAATGTCGCTTTTTGGGCTGGAGCTGGCGTCGAACCTCTGACCTCTGGGTTCTGAGCCAGTACTCTAACGACTGCGCCACGGCTGTTGGAAAAAACTTGTCAGGATAAACGGCTGGATCCATCGGTTTATAGGAAATTGTCGATTTGAAACAGACTTTCGTAAAAAGGTGATATAGCAGCTGATGAATATCATGAAAGCGAAAAAGAAATCATAGCTAAAGCTCAAAAAGAAAGCTTTAAAGAAGTATATAGCAACATTGAAAAAGGAAAACTGATATCGATATCAAGAAAAATAATTTCTTTAAATCCGCAAATTGACGATGACGGATTATTGCGATCTTCCAGTCAATTGCAAAACGCCCATTACTTACCCTACGATATCAAGTATCCAATCATTTTGCCGAGAGGACATAGAATAACAAAATTGATTGTTAATCATTACCATGACGAAGCCAATCATGTGATGGGAACAAATCAATTATTAACAAAGCTATCAGAACGATATTGGGTAATACGAGGACGAGAAGAAATCCGAGATGCAGAAGCAAAATGCAACAAATGTAAATTAAGGAGATGTAAACCTGCTCGACAGCTAATGGTCCCTTTACCAGCAATACGCTTTAAAGAACCACTACGTGCGTTTGCTTGAATTGGTATCGATTTTGCTGGTCCTTTTTTTACTATGCAAGGTAGAGGGAAGATACGACAAAAGAGATACTTGTGCATGTTTACCTGTTTACTACCACGAGCAGTACATCTTGAGATGGCTTATAATCTAGATACAAATTCATTCCTCAATGCCTTTTATCAAATGGTGAAAAGAAGAGAATTAGCATTAGAAGTTTTAACGTACAATGAAACAAATTTTGTTAGAGGATGTCGAGAACTAAACGAAATTGTCAACGACTTAGATAAGGATAAAATTACTAACTCTACAGCTGATAAAGGAATCAAGTGGCACTTTAATGCTCCGCTAGAACCTCATCTTGGCTGTGTATTTGAAATAATGGTCAAAGCTGTCAAACGTGCAATGACTGGGATACTCGAAAAAGCCGATATTACAGATGAAGAACTCTGTACGGCATTTACAGGTGCTGAGAGTTTATTGAATTCTCGCCCACTAACATATCAGAGTGCCAATATAAAAGATGATATTCCATTAACTCCAAATCTTTTTTTGATTGGGCAAGTTGGTGGACAATTTGCACCTGACTCAGTTCAATCTAAAGGCTATCATCCTAAAAAGCGCTTGCGTCGAGTGCATGAACTACTAAGTCATTTTTGGAAACGGTGGATGCGAGAATGGCTTCCATCTTTATCTAAAAGATATAAATAGAATCAGAAAAAACGTGAAATAAAAACGGATGACATTGTGTTAGTAATTTTTCCAGATACATCTTGAGGACATTGGCCACTTGGTTGAATTACGAGAGTCTTTGAAGGTAAGGATGGACGTGTAAGAATTGTGAAAGTCAAAATTGGCGAAAAAGAATTTATACGACCAATTACGAGATTGTGTCTTCTTGAGTTTGATAATTAAATGTTTGATAGACTGGAATCTATCAAAGAGGGGGAGAGTGATTGGAAGAAAATTGAATTAGCATAAAAGAAAAACAACATTCCGATACCACGATCGATATAACCAGTAAATAGCGCCAATATGGCTATAACGAACTAAATAACAATTATGTGGCGACTATTTGAACAATAGTGTTTTTTTGTTATTGAACGAAATTTTTGTATAAATAGAGTTTTGTTGTTGTTTTTCAGATACAAAAATAAAAAGAATATAAGTAATATAGTTAATGTAAAAACGGTTAAAATTTTAAAAATATGAGTTATAATACATATTCGGTATTATTTGTGATCGCCATCGGATCACACTATTGAGCAATTTTTTGCGGTTATTAGGTAAAATTTGTATTTGTCCGAACAAAGGATACTTACTTAAAATTGCAGTGGATTACCTTCATTTTCTTTGGAGAACTTATGACGCTTAGCAGCATTATTTTTTGAAATCAATTGTTTTTCCGAGCCACGCAGACACATATAATTTATTTAATCTAGATTTAATTTTGTAACCTTATTTGGTAAATTTAAGTATTTTTCAGCATAGAATTAATTATTTTTTAATATATAATAACCAAATGTTATCACAAATATAGACGTTGACTAATTCTGTCAACTTGCTTTGCGATCAGTCTGTAAAAACTCTGATAAACAAATAAAAGGTAATAAATAACCTCTCCACTTTGTATGTTACACTTTAACTAACTACAGCTAATCCTTGGCAAGTCAAACACCGGTTAACTCAAAATTTTATTATCTTGAACTATTGATTTTGGTTCAGGATCTTTATTTTATGCATTTAAAACGTTTTACTAAATAAGCTCTAGTTTCTAATGGTTTCATTCAAATGACTGTAAATAGAATTTCTTATTCGTTTAATTTATAATTTTTTTCGGTCTTCCATAGCGTTTTTTACTTTTTTTTACGTTGTAATGTCGTTTGCACACACCTTGCCTTTTTATTTTTAGGTTTGAGATTTGGACTTAAGAATAATATTTTTCGTAGTAAACAAGACACACATCAAAAAAATAGGTTTTAAGTTTCAGGTCAGAGCTCCCCAAATATTTTTATGGAACTTTTATCAGTGACTCTTTAGGATACTGTATCTAGAAGCCTAAAAATCAAAAGGTAGCCGTTTTTGAAAAAAAGCGATTTCAAACTTTAGTAAATTATTTTATAAAAGGGAAGGGGGTGAGAGTTGTAAAGTTAAGGTTTTCCTTATAAAAATCAATATTACCTCTTTTTAATTATGTTAAGGTTAATCCAGTATTGCAGGCAATTAAATTTTGATCATCTTAAGATGTTAATTTTTCTATAGAATTGTTGATGGAAGCGCAATTCATAAAGTATATTATATAGTAATTTATTTATTTAACATAATAATAGAATGTTTCAAACCCTAATTATTGTTTCGTTATTGTTAATATTAAACATAAACTACTTTATTAGAAAAATGTCTAATATATTATCTAACAAAACAGTAAACAGCAAAGAAAAACGAGACCATTCATTTAATCAGAAAATTATTTGTTGCTGTTGTTTGAAGAAATGCTTAAAATGTATTCCAGTAACGAAGTTATTAGAGGCTTACATAAAAATGTAAAACCTGAATATTCAATATCTGTGTACAGTTATCCAACAGGTATATTCCATATTATGATTAACTAATGCAATTGTTTTATTAAAAATTACTTTCTAAAATAATCATTATTTAAAAATGAATTTACTTTATGTAGGCATTTGTCCAACATGCAAAAAGTAATGTAAACTTACTGAAGAAAAGTAAAGACGTACCAAATGCAGTTAAAACTCGATAGCAATCTTCCCAATTATCTAGATGTGTAAGCACTAGAAATTGTGAAACATGCACAGTTTGTTCAAAGGCTAGATCAAGATTTCCACATATGAAAAAAATAAAGAAATAAGTAAGTTCTAATAGGATGTGTAACGTTTGCTTATGTGCGATCAAAAAAGGAACTTAACATCAATGAACTGAAATGAATGTGTATACAAATCTTTCTGCTAAGTTATTTAATGCTTCGGAAAAAGTTCAGAAAAAAGTCACTTCGAATGTTTTAAGATCGATTATTAAGAAAAAGAAACTTAAGCATGGAATCCAGACCCATCTAATTACTGGTAATTTGTTTGTAAGATTTGTTAGTGTTTTCGAATTGATTCAATCATCTAAAGTATTTTGTTATTCAGGTAGGTTGCCATTACCTATGACTATTGGTGTTCCTCAATTAGTTATTAGGAAAGTCAAATTTGAAGACACGAAAACTATGATTAATCGACTTGGACTTAGTCAATTCAAATCACACATCCTTCTGAAATCCTTAAGGAAAAGTGGAATTCAATTTGAGGCAAATCTTGAAAAAAAACTTTACCAAAAAAGTAAACTCCTATCTGAATTTTATGATGTGAAGACAATTTTTGAACAAAAAAAAAAAAGTTGTCAACCGATGTGTCAAGAGACCTTGTTTATGTTTTTCAATTAACAGAGCTAAGTAGTAGGAAAAGGAGAGATCAGAGGGATTTTCATTTTCAACCAAATTTTCAACCATAAATTAATATTAATATTGAGGTTAACATTGAACCATGTTGTGTATAATTTATTTAGATAAGAAATATTTTTTTTATTTTAAAAAAATTGATTTTTTAAAATAAGTGTTAATTTTTATTTCTTGTTATGAAATATTACGAAAAATTCTTAAAATGACGTGACGTGACTTTTCTTCAATAATAAATTTGATCTGGTGTTTTTAACTTTTCTTCTTCTAATCTTTCCTTCTCTAACTTTTCCCATTGTAATTTATTTTTATTTTGAAAATAACGAGCTAAACTTATTCTTCTTTTATAACTTCCTAATTTAATATCTTTAATTGTAAAATCCATTTATTATTTTTTAATTTATAATTTATGTAAAGAAATTTATTTTCAATTTTTTTTCTTGCTATCGCAGATTGCTCTTGTGCGCTAATTAAAAAGTATTAATATGTCAATTCCATTATAGCAATATCAATTAAATTATCAGGTCCTCTTAAATTTAATTCCTCATGGAAATATTTAAGAATTCAATTATAGCAATATCAATTAAATTATCAGGTCTTCTTAAATTTAATTCCTCATGAAAATAATCAAGGATATGTAAATGACAATTTATAGTAGCATAAATAAATGCTTCATAATTTACTTTATGATTTTGTGAAATTAAATATTTAACACGATCTAAATGTCCATAATAAGCAGCATAATCAATTGCACATCCTGTTCCTTTTTCTCCTAATTGATCTAATAATTTAATTAGATCATTTCTACATATACTTGCAGCAAAGTCAACTTTATTCCAATTATCTTTATAACCTTCTTTTTTTAATATTGTAGTAATATAATATATTTGAGATGAATGTTTTATTAAAAAATTATTATTCTCAATATTATTTTCCATTCTTTTTATATATAAAAGAAAATTATTTAACTTATTTTTCAATTTTTTTATTTTTTGTAAAAAATAAAAAAAATATTTAATTCTGTAGTCTAATTATCAAATACAACTTCATCTTCATCATCTTCATTATCATATTCAGTAGTTTCTGTAATTTCAGTAGTTACTGTAGTAACTTCTTCAACTTCATCATCTTCATTATCTTCATTATCTTCATCATCTTCTTCATTATCTTCATTATCTTCATTATCTTCATCATCTTCTTCAGTCATTTCAATATCATTATCGTATTCAGTAGTTTCTGTAATTTCAGTAACTTCAGTAGTAGTAATTGTAGTAACTTCAGAATCTTCAGTCATTTCAATATCATGAATATCAATTATATTTAATTTTTCTTCTATTAATCTTAATCTTTCATTTATTGATCTTAAAAATAAATTTTGCATTTCGTTTTCCATTCTTTTATATATAAAAGAAAAATTATTTAACTCATTTTAAATTTTTTGATTTAAAGTATTTTTTGCAAATAATAAAAGAAAAATATATGATGATGAAATTAATGAAATATCAGAATTTCAAAAAGAATTTAAACTTTTTGAAGAAATATTAAAATTTGAATTTGAAGAATCAGATTC